TTGGACAGCGCCCTCTGCAGCTCGGCCTTGGATTCCTGCTCCTCCTCATACTGTTCCCGCAGCAGGTCACAGTCGTGGCGGGAGGACTGCAGGGCATGGGCCAGGGCGTTCTTGGCCTGCAGAAGGACTAGTTCAGTGACTTAAATTCATTTATTCAGTGACACATAATTTACATACCCAGAGTAGAACGTAACTGGACATGCTTGGATTTACTCAGCCAAGATCTTTGGTAAAACTCACTTTAGTTTCTTCCTCCAGCTGACGTTTCAGCTCCTCGATCTGCTGCGTAGATGCTTGTTTGCTTCTTGAAAGCTGAGAGACTAAAGCATCTTTCTCATCTAATTGTCGGGAATATTCACCTAGGAATAATAGAAGTAAATGAATTGGTTAATGGCATAGAAATAAGCTTAAGCTCTCATATATATATATATATATATATATATATATATATATATAAAACTATATACTTATATATATATAAAATATATTTTATTTGCTTCTAAATATGAGTATAGAACTGGTTAGAACTGGAGGCAAAAAGCAGAAATGCCACAGAAGTGTAACAAGTAAACTATTCTTCCAGTTCTTGCTTTGCATTCTTTCTGACCTGCTCAGCAGAGTCTACCAGTTTGTTTATTCCCCTCTAAGATGGGAGGGAATAGTGGTATTTCTCCAGAACCTCTGGAATCACTTTTATCTAGTATGTAGTTTCAGGGCCCAGAGAAAGGTCCTCACCTGCTTCTGTCTGCAGACGTGCTCTCTGAGCCGTCAGGTCATTGATCAGCCGCTGCTTCTCCTCTTCTTTGGTCTTAAGTTCACTCACCTGATCTTCCAGAGTGTGACACATCTTTTCAAGGTTCCCCTACAGGGTATGTGGCAGTGAAAGATGAGACACTGAACGCAGTAAAAAAAAGTTAAAACTTGAGTCTTCAACTATTTTTAGAGTGAATAAATTCAAGCGTGAGTAGAAAGTTATGGCACCAACTTGATGGGACAGGCTAAGATTCAAGCATGGTGAGTGAGGGATGTCCTGGACGTGGCCATTGTTGGAGCCCGTTCATTTTTTCCAATGATACTGACACTTGCTTAAAGTAGATTTTGAAACAGTCTTAATAGGTCATAAGCAAGCACTAACAAAAATGAAGTAGAATGGAATATATTATAATAGGAAATATTAGATTAGTGCTATAAACTGCCAGAAACAGTGTTTAGTGACAGAACAATGAGTGTTCTATCAGGTTATTAATGAACATCATTTAGAGTTGGTATTGGGTACCTTTGCTTTGGAAATGGCCTCTGCATTACTGGCAAGGTCATCGATCTCCATCTTCAGTTCGCTCTTCTCCTTCTCCAGCTTCTGCTTGACCCTCTGCAGGTTGTCTATCTGCTCCCCGAGCTCGGCCACGCTGTCCGCGTGCTTCTTCTGGAGTGCGGCCGCTGTGGCTTCGTGCTGTAGGGTGGCCTCCTCCAGATCCCGGCGAAGTTTCTGGAGCTCAGCCTCGCGCTTCTTGTTCATCTCAATCTGGGCAGAAGTGGCCCCGCCGGCTTCTTCCAGGCGCTCGCTGATCTCCTCCAGTTCCCGGGAGAGATCAGAACGCTGCTTCTCTGCTTTGGCCTGGGAGGCCCGCTCTGCCTCAATTTCCTCCTCCAGCTCCTCGATGCGGGCCTGGGAGTGACACATCAACATTAACATAAACTCATCTCAATCTCAGGGTTTTTGGGGTACAGAAAAAAATGAAGGTGAGATGGTTCACCTGCAGCTCTTTGATCTTCTTCTGTAGTTGAATTTCTCCTGCCTGCTCATCTTCAATTTTGCTTAGCAGATTGCTGATTTCAAATTCTTTCCTGTAGACAGAAGAATAAGATATATTAGTACTCATGAATTGAAAGATGATATCACATGGAATTTTTTTCTGGAGTTCCTACTTTTTGAGTTTCTCATCAAGTTGCTGCTTGTCATTTTCTACATCCATTGTGGATTCTTGGGCCAATTTTAGGTCACCCTCCAGTTTCCTCTTTGCCCTTTCTAGATCCATTCGAAGTTTCTTTTCTTGCTCTAGAGACCCTTCAAGCTAACGAGAAAGGAAAATATGTTAAACATTGAAAGTGTGTTTAAAAAAATCCTTCAAATGGATATCAAAAACACACTTACGTCATCCACTTGCTGCTCTAGCTTGGTTTTAGCTTTGGTCAGGGTGTTGACTTTGTCTTCTTCTGTCTGCAGATCATCCAGGGTCTGCTGGTGGGCCTCTTGGAGGGCCTTCTTCTCCTTGGTCAACTTTGCGATGGTTTCGTCCAGGCCTGCCATCTCTTCTGTGAGGTTTTTCACCTTGAAAAATTAAAAAGAGAAATGATAGCTGTGCTAAAGCATCT